GCAATGCAACACCTGTCAATCTCCCACCCTATCGCACGTCACCTGCTAAGAAACGTGTGATTGAAGAACAAGTACAACAAATGTTGAAGGACAACATCATTGAACCTTCCACAAGCCCTTGGGCAGCTCCTGTAGTCATTGTAAATAGAGCGGCCACGGAACCAAGGTTTTGTGTGGACTTTCGAGGGCTCAACCAAGTTACCCGAAAAGACTCTTATCACCTGCCTAGTGTAGATGAGTCTTTGGACTTTCTGGCAAGAGGAAAGTTTGTCTCGACATTGGACTTAGCGCGAGGCTATTGGCAGGTTGCTGTAGCAGAGGACTCGAAGCCTAAAACTGCCTTCATCTCTCACTGCGGTCTCTTCCAGTTTCGGGTGCTGCCCTTTGGGCTCTGCAACGCACCTGCAACTTTTCAGAGACTCATGAACTCTGTGCTTGCTGGCCTCATTTACAAAACGTGTGCAGTCTACCTGGATGACATTGTTATCGCCTCACCTACCTTTGAACAGCACTTAGTGGATCTTGAGGAGGTGCTGGGCAGACTCCAGGCTGCTGGCTTGTCATTGAAGCTCAAAAAGTGCCAATTCTGCCTCGATGAATTCACCTTTCTCGGGTACCGCATCACATCATCAGGTGTTAAGCCCGATCCGGACAAAGTAAAGGCGGTTAAGGAGTTTGATACCCCAACCTCAGTGAAACACGTCCGTCAGTTCCTTGGCTTGACTGGCTATTATCGACGCTTCATTCAGAATTATGCCCGCCATGCCGAACCTCTTCACGCCATCACCAGAAAGGACAATGCTTTCCACTGGGACGACAGCTGTCGAAGGGCCATGGACACTTTGAAGGATCATGTCACATCAGCCCCGATCCTGTCATTTCCAGACTTCAACCGTCCCTTTTCCATTCACGCCGATGCATGTGACATTGGTCTTGGGGCAGTGTTGATGCAAAAGGATGACAAGGGTCGTGAGTACGTTGTGGCTTTTGCTAGTCGCTCCCTTCACAAAGCTGAACTCCCCTATTGCACTTCAGAGAAGGAGTGCCTCGCTGTGATATGGGCTCTGGAACACTTCCGCCCGTATGTTGAAGGTGTTCATGTTACTATCTTCACTGACCACAACAGTCTCAGGTGGCTCATGTCTCGTCAAAACCCAACGGGCCGACTCGCCCGCTGGTCACTTCGTTTGCAGGACTTTGATTTCACAATAGTGCACAAACCTGGTGCACAAAACAAAGTTCCCGACGCACTGTCACGCAACCCTTTGCCTCTGACCTGTGACAGGCCGACTGATCTTTTACCAGATCATGCTGTTATGGGCAGCCTGGACATTCGTACTCTGCCCCCCGTCATTCTGGCTGACCGTTCACAATTGAGACAGCTGCAGTTAGACGATCACGTCACAGGTCCACTCCTCAGAGACATTGAAGCAGACTCTCTGAACAGCTCGGACAATGCCACCTTGTTACAGTATGTTGTGTATGACTCTCTTTTGTATCACAGGGAACCCAAGTCCACATGTGCTTTGCACCCTTTGAAAGAGCTGAAACGGTTTGCCCCTACTTCCTTGAGAGGCACCTTGCTGGACTATTACCATGACCACCCCACAGCAGGTCACTTGGGTGTTTCTAAGACATTGGCTAGACTGCGTTTTAGGTTTTTCTGGCCCAAAATGGCAGCTGATGTGAAACGCTATGTGATTTCATGCTCAGTGTGCCAACTCACCAAGCCAAGTCAGAAAAAAGCAGCCGGTCTTATGGTTCCCATTGTCCCCCAGAAACCCTGGGAGTATGTGGGTGTGGATTTTGTTGGGCCACTTCCCCGCACCCCCACTGGTAATGCTTATTTGATCGTGTTTGTTGACTATTTGACTAAATGGGTTGAAGCCAGTGCTGTCAAAGAAGCTACATCTCAGGTAGCAGCTGGTAAATTCGTCACTGACATTTTTGCTAGACATGGTACACCCACTTACCTGATTTCTGACAGAGGGTCTCCTTTTGTGAGTGAGCTTTTTGAACATGTTGTTTCTGCATTCGGCTCGGTGCACAGACTCACTACGACATATCACCCTCAGACAAATGCTACTGAACGCGTCAACCGGACTCTGAAAACTGCAATCCGCGCTTATGTAGGTGATAAGCACACATCATGGGACAAGTTTCTCCCTCAGATTTGCTTTGCTCTGCGCACCGCCCCTCATGACAGTACAGGTTTGACTCCTGCCATGATGCTTTATGGTCGTGAGTTAGACACCCCGCTTGACCTTATCACTCAGCCTTCTACAGCAGGTGTTGATGAACCGGGTGTGCCTTACCCTGAGACTCTGAGAGCCTCCCTGCAGGAAGCTCACGACCACGCCAAAGCAGCTTTGGACTATAGCCATGACAGACAAGAACATTACTATGACTTGAGACATCGACATGCCACGTTTCGTGTTGGTGACCTTGTGAGAGTTAAGACGCACCCCAGGTCAGATGCTCAGTCTAACTTTACTGCTAAACTTGCACCACTGTTTCAGGGACCATTGTGTGTATCTCAGAGACTCAGTGATGTTAATTACAGGCTCACTTGGGTGGACTCCGGTGTGGATGCAGGTGTTTATCATGTTGTGAACATGCAACCGTTCCATACCTGGGACTCTCTCACTTCCAAAGAACATTCTGTTTCATCGCCTGCCGAGAGAGAGACCGCAGAGGGTCTGAACTCTGACTCTCAGGCCCACCCTGGCCCCCCTGCAGACACTGACATTGGCTCTGAGCCATTCCCCTTTGATTTACCAGACATTGACTCTTCTTCTGGTGTGGGCGCTGTTCCAGAGAGTGTTTCACCCAGATCTGTCCAGCACCCAGCTGCTGGTGGACATTACAATCTCAGGCCCAGACGTTGCCCCAGAGTTACGTCTGGCTGGAGCAACAAAAGATGGACTAATGATTTTCACACAACCAGGCTTGATCTGAAGTGAAATGTTCTGGTTAAACCTGTTTGATGTTGTCTTGTTGCATTGCTACTTTGAGTCATGATATGTAGATGTTTCTGTTTGCTCTACTTAATCCAGTTTTATGGCTCTTTAGTGCGTTAAGGTTCATTCTTGGCATTTACTTTAAAAACAAAAAAAAGGAAAAAGTGAAAAAACTAAGAAGACTGATTTTCCACTGTACATATTCGTCTTATTTTCACCAATTTCATTTTTAAATGGTCTTTTGCCCTGTGTGTGTGCACCAATCTTAGCTGTAACCTCTATGTATAGGGTACTGTTAGGTGTGGTGTGTGTTTTTTCAGCTGTGTACGGCTGAGGACAGCCTTTTTCTCACCAGGGGGGACTATGTAACAGTTGCTATCGTAATGCAGTGTATCACCACATGGCGGCGCCTCCTGTCTCACGACTGGTGTCACCCCCTTTTTGTTCTTCTTCGCACTCCTCCTGTAATGGATGCTCCCGTGTGTACGCGGACTAGTGTGCTCTTCAGTAATGTGTGGTAGAGGTAGCACTTATTTTTGATATTGTAAATAAATGAGTACTTTTTGGAAAGTCAGAAGCTGTTGCTCATTCGCTATCCACCTGCACACCTCCGCGGCTGGCTTCATCTCCACCGCATGTTACAGTTACCACAATAATAACGTAGTTACTGTAACGCGTTACTTAATAACGCGTTAGTCCCAACACTGCTGGTCAGTCACAGGAGCACGTTCAGTGAGAGACTGAGATTACCGAAAAGCACCACTGAACGACACAGGAAATCATTCCTGCCTGTGGCTCCCTGTACAACGCATCCACTTAACACACTGGTTACTGCTGGGGGCGATCGTGGCTCAAGAGTTGGGAGTTCGCCTTGTAATCGGAAGGTTGCCGGTTCGAGCCCCGGCTTGGACAGTCTCGGTCGTTGTGTCCTTGGGCAAGACACTTCACCCGTTGCCTACTGGTGGTGGTCAGAGGGCCCGGTGGCGCCAGTGTCCGGCAGCCTCGCCTCTGTCAGTGCGCCCCAGGGTGGCTGTGGCTACAATGTAGCTTGCCATCACCAGTGTGTGAATGTGTGCGTGAATGTGTGGATGACTGGATATGTAAAGCGCTTTGGGGTCCTTAGGGACTAGAAAAGCGCTATATAAATACAGGCCATTTACCATTTACAACTACACGTTTCTTTTCCAGCTATTTATTTATGAGTGACTTATGTATGTATATATATGTATATATTGTACTATTCTTAGTTAGCGTATTGTCTGTCTTGTCTTAATGTTGGTTTATAATGGAGCACTGTAACAAAAAATTATTTCCCCCAGGGATCAATAAAGTATTGTGATTCTGATTAACCTGTGTGCGACTGAGGCAGCTGCTGCGCTTGGATTTTGTTCTTTTGTGGAATAAAGTTTTGTGTTTTTTAACTGGGAAGTACAAGCTTTTCGGAGCTGAACACCTGCCGTGTTGTGCCAAAAAGTGATTTCCAATGTTTCTGTGTGTTTTTTTTTGTGAGTAATATTTTACGTATGTTGGTAAATAGACTTTGGTGAACAGAGGGGTTATATATAAAATTTAAAAATTACATGTTTTTCAAGTATCTTTATAACTCCGTGTTATTGTACTTACATTATAACCAATCCGGTCCTTTTTGTCCACTTGAAATATGTTTACAGAACTGTTGTTATATGTGTTGCAATATCTGCTGTCCTCTTGGCCAGATTAAAAATGTGTTTTTTAACAGTAATGTCAAGGAGATTTATTTAACTGGAAAAATAAAGGATATATAAAAGGCACTGCCAAAAACTGATTGCCACGTCTACCTTGTGACAGGAATGTTGTTTGTGGCTCAAGTTGGCTTGATGTCATTCATGAGGGAAACATTTGACATGTATTTCAGCTATTAGAGACCAACAAGTTATTTATAGCAGTTTAAATACGAGCAATCAGTTTTGGGCATAACACCGGAACACCACGCATACACACTCATTCTGGGCCATTCATTCAGCAGTGTCAATAAAGATTCACCAAAACAGTCAGTTATGACGTCATCTTCGTGCGGCCTCCCGGAAGTGCGCGCTGGAGTCAGAATGGCGCAGAAGTGGATCGGCGGCTGCAGCTCAGGTGTTGTTTGATGACAAATTCACCGAAAATCACCGGAAACCGGAGACCGGAGCGCGAGGTGGACGGGGATCTCGCGGAGGACACGCACCGCCGTCGGGGACGCACACACGCGCAGTGAGTGTCCGCTACGCTTTGCGAGCCCCGCGGCTAGCATGCTAACGTGTTGAGTCACGGGGGTCCAAGTCCGCGAGCAGCCTCGCCGCGAGCTTCGGAGCACCCCAGGCCCGCCCGCAGGAGCCCTCCCGGCGGCCACGCTGCCGCGGAGAAATTCAGAGGACCGCTAGCCTGTTAGCACTGCTCTTCCTATGTTAGCATGCTAACAGAGAAGCTAGCCGTCCGCTCAGGGGAGCCGGGGTCCACCTGACGTCATCAATGTGTTTGTCTTTGTTGTGGGAGTTTAATCACGTGGTTCACCGCGTCGCTGTCGCCCGTGCTCCTCACCTGAGTTCACAGGTTGCTTAGTTATTCCGCCACCAGGAGGGGCTGATCAGAGTGACGTCATCCGACATAGCTGGACTCATCTCCACAAGGGGTGGGACAGAGGTCCAGGTAGCTCATGTGAACATGCAGGTTATATAGCAATCAGAAGTTTGGTGGTTTGAGCCCTGGGTGCCAAAGTGCCTTTGAGCAAGACACTGAACCCTGAGTTACTCTTTAGGTGTGTGTGTGTGCTTTAAAGTGCTTTGAGCACTCCAGTAGTTGAATCAGACCTGTCCATTTACAGACAGCTGTTAGTCAAAGAGGCTACGCCCCCAATAATGCAGGTTATTACCCAGGCATGTTTTCCACACCCTGTCAGGTGTTAAACATGGCCGTCTGTGGGACAGAGTCAGAGAGACTTTATTTATCCCCAAGGGACAATTAAGATGCAGACAGAGGCCCAAATACAGTGGGCCTCTGTTGGGTGTCAGAGGGATCGCAGCAGAGGTTGCACACCTGCAGGCCAGGTGAGACTTGACCAGCCTGAGCCTCTGTGTTTTCAGACAAAGATCTAGGAGGCGGGGCTTAAGATCCTATTTAGGCAATTTTAACACAGATTACAGGTTTTATTATTACCTATCAGCTGACATAGACTCTGTGGCCCAATCGGCTCTTCCACAAGCTGGAAACAGATGCAGAACAGGTGATGTTTCCTCTGGTTTTTTTACGTGCATGTTGTCAGTGTGCAGCTTCTTCTGGAAAGCAGTAAAAGATGCCCAGCAGCTAAGACTGCATGTGATGCTCCTGCTGAGTCACTGCAAACAGTGAACACACCTGTTCAGCCAATCACATTAATGCCCTCTGATTTGATTTCAGGTCTCCTTTATCAGGCTGTGGGACAGGAAGTGTTCATGTTTCCATGGAAACAGCTGTAATGTGTAGCCGTCATCTTAGAGACAAAGAGCAGCACTGAGTGCGCTCAGACACCAAATCATTCGCTGTAAATCAAATTTTATTCTCCCGCTCTGTGCTGAAGATTCTGCTGCTTCAGCTCTCAGATCATCATCATCATCCTTGATCATGGCTTTGATTGGTGCAAGCAGCATTCACAGGGTCATTCTGTGAGGAGGAAGAGTCGCATGACATGCAGAATACCCCTGTTTCATGTGAGTGCACACTGAGCCTGAAGCAGAGAGCCCAGGTTATCAGAGAGAGTTAGCTCTGACTGAGGTTAGGTTTTGTTGATCTAGTTAACTCAAAGAAAGCCTGGATATGTTGCACCTCCTCCGTAGTCATGGCCCTCTTACAACAATTCACCTGAACAGGTGTTTGGCCCTCTGTTAGACAGGTGGAGACTGCATTAATGGTCGAAGCTCTGTCTGGACCCAGCTGTGTGTGTTTGTGTGTGTGTCAGCAGGTGATGGCGGAGCGACGAGGCGAGTGTTTGTGGAAGAAACACGTGGCGGAGCAACTCAAGCTTAGAGACCGAGAGCAGAGACAGGCCTTCGAGGAGATCATCCTGCAGTGTGAGACACACACTCTTTCTTTAACCCTCTGTACTCGGTAGAATTCCCTGGAATGTTCCAGTTTCCAGAGGTTCAGATAGAAATCTTAAAGTTATTTTAAGAACTGCTGTAAGGCAGCAGCTGTAAGTTGGTTTGAAGTCAAAGATCGCAAGTAGCTGAGCTATATATGAACATTTCTTCATCTTCCTCCTTAAGTCTGAAGTGAAGTCAGAGCTCTAAAGCAGCGGTCCCCAACCACCGGGCCTCGGACCGGTACCGGTCCGTGAGTCGTTTGGTACCGGGCCGCGAGAGTTGAGGCTCAGGTGTGAAATGTATGGTTTTCAGGGTTTATATCGGTTTTCAGCGTTATTTTGTTATCGTTTTTATCGTTTACTCGGTTTTCCTGGGTCTTTTCACGTGTGTTATGAATACATTTTCTTTTTTTGGTACCGGTACTAGTTTTATTTTGTTGTATTTAAAGGCCGGTCCGTGAAAATATTTTCGGGCATAAACCGGTCCGTGGCGCAAAAAATGTTGGAGACCGCTGCTCTAAGACACACAAACCTGCATGAACACACTCAGTTAGATTAATTCAATTCAATTTTATTTATATAGCGCCAAATCACAACATAAGTTGCCTCAAGGCGCTTCATAGATACAGAGAAAAACCCAACAATCATATGACCCCCTATGAGCAGCACTTTGGCGACAGTGGGAAGGAAAAACTCCCTTTTAACAGGAAGAAACCTCCAGCAGAACCAGGCTCAGGGAGGGGCGGGGCAATTTGCTGCGACCGGTTGGGGTGAGAGAAGGAAGACAGGATAAAGACATGCTGTGGAAGAGAGACAGAGGTTAATAACAGATATGATTCAATGCAGAGAGGTCTGTTAATACATAGTGAGCGAGAAAGGTGACTGAAAAACTCAGTGCATCATGGGAATCCCCCGGCAGCCTACGTCTATTGCAGCATAACTAAGGGAGGATTCAGGGTCACCTGGTCCAGCCCTAACTATATGCTTTAGCAAAAAGGAAAGTTTGAAGCCTGATCTTGAAAGTAGAGATAGTGTCTGTCTCCTGAATCCAAACTGGAAGCTGGTTCCACAGAAGAGGGGCCTGAAAACTGAAGGCTCTGCCTCCCATTCTACTTTTAAATACTCTAGGAACAACAAGTAGGCCTGCAGAGCGAGAGCGAAGTGCTCTAATAGGGTGATATGGTACTACAAGGTCATTAAGATAAGATGGGGCCTGATTATTTAAGACCTTGTATGTGAGGAGCAGGATTTTGAATTCTGGATTTAACAGGAAGCCAAAACAGGAGAAATCTGCTCTCTCTTTCTAGTCCCTGTCAGGACTCTTGCTGCAGCATTTTGGATTAGCTGAAGGCTTTTCAGTGAGTTTTTAGGACTTCCTGATAATAATGAATTACAGTAGTCCAGCCTGGAAGTAATAAATGCATGAACTAGTTTTTCAGCGTCACTCTGAGACAGGATATTTCTAACTTTAGAGATGTTGCACAAATGGAAGAAAGCAGTCTTACATATTTGTTTAATATGTGCATTGAAGGACATGTCCTGGTCAGAAATGACTCCAAGGTTCCTCACAGCGTTACTGGAGGCCAAGGTAATGCCATCCAGAGTAAGAATCTGCTTAGATACCATATTTCTAAGATTTTCAGGGCCGAGTACAATAACCTCAGTTTGATCTGAATTAAGAAGCAGAAAGTTAGCGGCCATCCAGGTCTTTATGTCTTTTAGACATTCCTGCAGTTTAACTCATTGGTGTGTGTTATCTGGCTTCATGGACAGATAGAGCTGGGTGTCATCAGCATAGCAGTGTAAATGTATGCTATGTCTTCTAATGATGCTGCCTAAGGGAAGCATGTATAATGTAAACAGAATTGGTCCTAGCACTGAACCCTGTGGAACTCCATAATTAACCTCAGTGTGTGAAGAGGACTCTCCATTTACATGCACAAACTGGAGTCTATTAGATAGATATGATACAAACCACTGCAGTGCAGTACCTGTAATACCTACAGCATGTTCTAATCGCTCTAATAGGATATTATGGTCGACAGTATTGAATGCTGCACTGAGGTCTAGCAGGATTAGACCCACATGACTACGCCCTGCCAAACAACAGCAGGAGCTGATTAGAAGCTAGGCTTGAGTGTCCTAAAAATCACACTTCCACTCTGATGAAGAATGACTACGTTCTCAGTTCGACTCGTGTTGGTCACCAAGTGTCCAACAACGTAAGCTCCACTGACAGCAGCTAACAGCAGTTAGCAGAGGCCGTCGGCAGCACAGAGCAGTGTGCCCACAGAAGCACTCAGCGACACATCAACTCATCGCAGTGAAGCCTTTCAGAGCTCTGCTTCGTAGGTTGCTGTGGTGACGCCCCCTTGACATTAACACGGTGCTGACTCCCATGTTGGATTTAAACATGGCTGCAGCTCACACACCTGTACAGCTGACTGGAGCTGTCGTGTCGGCGCTCAGGAGGACCTGACTAACCCTGAGTGCAGCTGACAGAAGGAAGCTCCACCCACACACTTGTCAGCCACCTACAGCGTAGCGTCCATGTTGTTTGAGTTGTCATAGTTGTTGATGTATTGATGGGTTTTCAGATAACCGTCTCCTGGAGAAGGCGGACCTGCAGGCTGTTCTATCGGAGCGTTACCAGGCCGACAAATATGACGTTCAGAGAGGCCACGAGTCCAGGTGAGTGTAAGGCGTGCTGGTGTGTGCTGTCACTCGTCGGCGTGTTGTCTAACGTGTCTCTGTGTCCCGTGGCAGTGCGGCGGACTCGAGTCGCAGCGACGCTCTGCAGCAGGAGATGGCTCAGATGAGGATTCGGCACCAGGAGGAGCTGACGGAGCTGCACAAGAAACGAGGCGAGGTGAGTGCTTGCCGGCATGCCGCCAAGCCTGAGGCGTGTGTGCGGGGAGGCGGGGTTAGGGGGACGTACAGGTGCAAGTTACTGAGCTGTGTTAGTGCACACGGTAAGGGAAAACCTGGAGTGTTTCCTGTGTGACACGCTCAGTTTGCTCCTCAATAATCCGGCAACAGAGTGACTACTCGCAGCGCCGTGACATTGTTTTAAACAGACAGTGGATGGAGGCTGCTTTGCGTGTTTGCCGACGCGCTGTGGCCGCTCACATGTTGGTGGTGAAACAAGGCTCTGCTTCACCCACACACCGCTGGCCCACCCAAGACTGAAGTGCCTCTTTGTGCCACGCCCACTGCTTAAACCGCCGCCAGGTCTGTTTTCCTGAAGCTGCCTGAAACAGGTGAGGATGACAGGACGTCAGTCGCAGGGACGTGCTCGCAGTTCTGATCATGTGAGGGAATTCGCAACTAATCACATGATTCCTGACCATCACTAACAGGAAGTGATGTCACAGTGATAGTTGATACTTTCTGTCAGCTGACATCCTCTGACTCATGGAAACTCTGAGCTGCTGACATGTGACACACGAGGCTTTATAGCAGGAAGTGTGAATGTTTGACTTTCAGTTCTCTCTCCTGCTGCAGCTCATCACAGTGAGCGAGGGCTGGTGGAGGTGCAGTCGTGTGCTGGAGAGCTCCACCTCTGAATACTGAGTGCTGATGGCGATGATGTCACAGCTCCAAATGGAGCGTAAAGCTGTTTCTGGCTTAATTTAGTACATCCTAATTTGCTGGTTGTTGTCATAACAATGCGTCCGAGCGAAATAATTAGTGTGCGTCACAAACGCTACAACAAAGGTCGATAGCGTTTCTCCAGACTCAGGGGAACACTCATCGAGTGACGCCACTGACCAGCGAATCGGTGACATGTAGTCTGATGACGACACATTTTAGTACCTGCTCAGTTCACTTGGAACCCCGTTCGTACAGGTACTACAGAAGTATCTGGTACTACGAAGGTACCACGTCCTATGACCTAATGCAAAACCTTGAAAAGCAAAGACCAAGACAGACTTTTAATTAGACTCAATCAAGAACCCACCCACCACTTTAATCACACTCTAGATCTTGTTTTAACATATGGCATAGAAACTGAACATTTAAGTGTTTCCTGAAAACCCTCTCCTGTCTGATCATTTCCTGATAACATTTACATTTACAATAATTGATTACACAGCGGTGGAATGCCAGGTATGGAACGCCAGGACTGCCATAATGAATTAATTAAATACACCATTAAATAATTAATTAAATGTGGCAATAATTAATTAAAATTGGAATTAATTAAATAAATAAATAGTTATGACACATGTAATTAATTAATTATTGACACATTTAATTAATTATTGACACATTTAATTAATTATTTAATGATATATTTATTTATTTCATTTTGGCAGTCTTGGCGCCTGGCTCTCATCATGAAATAATCTGTCAGCCTCACCCATCAAACTCAGGGGGCGGGGTTAACGCTAATCGAGTCAAAACCATTGCTTTGGCCTGGTGGCCATTGTTTCTAGCACACAACAACCGGCATGTAGAAGCTAACAGAACTGAACTTTGAAAAACCCTGTTTGTGTGTCACCAAATACCGTTTTAATATTTTTTTAGCCGAGAATGTAGTGGTTTAATCTTCATGTGTCTGGTCGGTTTGTCAAGATACAGCCTCTTTGCAAAAGTGTTTCGATGATTTCGGAGATGTCTGCCCAGTCTCACGGCAAAGCGTGGGATAAATGGCCTGGCCTGTATTTATATAGCGCTTTACTAGTCCCTAAGGACCCCAAAGCGCTTTACATATCCAGTCATCCACCCAGTCACGCACACATTCACACACTGGTGATGGCAGCTACATTGTAGCCACAGCCACCCTGGGGCGCACTGACAGAGGCGAGGCTGCCGGACACTGGCGCCACCGGGCCCTCTGACCACCACCAGTAGGCAACGGGTGAAGTGTCTTGCCCAAGGACACAACGACTGAGACTGTCCGAGCCGGGGCTCGAACCGGCAACCTTCCGATTACAAGGCGAACTCCCAACTCTTGAGCCACGATCGCCCGGGATAGACCCGTTCGCCTCGCAAGCAATCCCACCGACAAAGCGCAGGCCCCGGTACACAGCTGTAATAACCCCCGCTGACTTCTTTTACTGAGGTTATATTTTTCGGTGTTTTATTTCCTGATGTTCTTATGTGTCCTACGTGTTTCAGTCGCCAATTCTGAATTATAACTAACATTAAAAACATGTTTAAGGAGGAGAGAGAGCAAATAAATCTGTTTAACATCTGATCTTTGGGTTTTTGTTCAGTAATCAGCGTGACCTGTGTATAAACACATAAAAGAGATAACGTTGGTGTTTCCGTCATGTAGTAACTGCTGGCTTTAACTGTACAAAGGTTGTTCGACACTATGAAACACATACAGACTTCATGATGTTCGGCTAATATTTTTATTGTGAATATTAATCATGCTGACCTCGCTCTGTACACCACGCAGCGAGGTCAGCATATCCACGATATCCTCAGCTCCATGAGTTAACACAAAGTTTCCCAGCTGACTATCTAACTTCCAACTATTCCAGAGACGTGAAAATATACAGCATAAAGAAAAGTGTAAGAGACTCAGCAGCAGATTAGAATAACAGTTATACATTTAATAAATCACCAAATGAATCCAAGAAACGAGCAAACCTGTTCCGACAATTTGAATTTGTATTCCCTCAGCTGCAGACTCGCTGCTGTTTAAATGTTTGAGAGGAAGATTAGATATAAAAAACGTCAAACATAGACTCAGTCTGCCTTCACATTTGATATGAGGCCAGCACGTATAGTGGCCTCAGCAGGCTATTACTGAAATACACGTGCTATATCATAAACTATGATATAAACAGGGAGGTCCTATTAACATGTTTAGTTTTAAAGGACACCTTCCTGCCTTTAGTCTCATTCATGAGCAGTATTCGTTTTCTTCTAACATCCAGAAGTCTGCACAATGTGTTTCATAGTTTGTAACAAGCCTTTGACAGGTAAACATAACATGACCGAAAAAGCAAAAAAAAAAAGAAAAAAAAAAGAGAGAGAGAGAGTGTTGACATAAGAAGAGAAAATGCTCTCAATTATGGAGACAGACAAATGGTTCATTTATGTTTGATGTGTGTTTATTCCTCCCTAAATATCGTCGGTGAAGTTCGCCATGCATGTCAGATTTTCCTGCGCATTTTTATACCTCTGCCAACAGAGAGAGAAAAAAAATCACATTCTAACAGACAGCTGGTGCTTAGAATACAGTTGAATAACTATTAAAAAACAGATGATATTTAGATGATAGTTCAGTCTAACACATGTGCCAGTGAACCATTAAACGTCTGTGAAACTATGCAGTTTTGAAACGTAACTTTAACCTCAGCCAAACCGATTTGCTCAGTTGTAAATAAAACAGCGAAGTAAACGTGACCCGACAGACAGAACCTGAGTGAATGAGGTCCAGCGTTTAACCACTGAGAGCTAAAACTCAGCTGAGGTTTGAAAGCTGTGTGCCGGTGATTGGACATCAGCCGCTGATAAAGCTGTTCGCCTATAAAGTGCTCTGTAAGGAAACGAGCTCCAGCAGCTCTGCGCTCGGGGAAAACACTATATTTACTTATCTTGTGCAGAAAAATGCGCTGACATTGCGTTATATCGAGCACCGGCTGCCCAGTTAAACTGTGACTATCACCAGGTAACTAGGCGTGTTTCTTGAATTAGCAGCAGGTGTTAAACAGCTGACAGATGAGGAGGAGGATGCATGCAGGTAAACTGAGGGTCTGTTGAGCTGATCGCTGGTTTCGTGAGAAAAATGTCAGCTCGTTCTTTATGTTACAGAAGCACAGAGACACAAGACCAGGCGGAAAGAGACGATTGTTCGGTGAAAATGAGAATCTGCAAATGCAACATGTGGAACACGGAGAGTGGAAAATGTAAACAAACCGGTTAACGTAACCCCCTGGGTGCACTCTGCATGCTAATTGTTAGCAGAGCGAGTGAAATCTCGGAAAACATCTGAGCACTTTTGCAAACATGTTCTATGTTGACAACCTGACCAGACGTACGTCGCGACATTCGCGGCTAAAACACTGTTAAAAGTGTAGCTGGTGACAGAAAAACGGGGTATTTTAAAACTACACCACCACCATTGCTGCCTGTGATTTGATCTGCATTCTGGGATAACTGGCTGCCCCAAGTCTACACAAGCAATCGATTATCTAGGATCGACCTGTTTTGACTTACTTTGCACGGCAACCAATCAAATGTTAGAGAAGCTGCATGGGCAGCGTTAACCCCGCCCCCTGAGTTTGATGGGTGAGGCTGACAGATAAAATTATTTCAAGATGAGAGCCAGGCACCAGGACTGCCAAAATGAAATAAATAAATATATCATTAAATAATTAATTAAATGTGTCAGTAATTAATGAAATGTGTCAATAATTAATTAAAATGTGAAATACATAAATAATTAATTAAATGTGGCAATAATTAATTAAAATGTGAAATACATAAATAATTAAATGTGTCAATAATTAATTAATTACATGTGTCATAACTATTTAATTAATTAATTCCAATTTTAATTAATTATTGCCACATTTAATTAATTATTTAATGGTGTATTTAATTAATTCATTATGGCAGTCCTGGCGTTCCATAGCCAGGACCTATATAATGAATTAATTTAATACACCATTAAATAATTTATTAAATGTGGCAATAATTAATTTAAAATTAATTAAAATTTTAAATTAATTAAATAAATATTATTGACACATTTAATTAATGATTTAATGTTGTATTTATCCATCCATCCATCTTCATCCGCTTTATCCGGGGCCGGGTCGCGGGGGCAGCAGCCTAAGCAGAGAAGCCCAGACCTCCTTCTCCCCAGCCTCCTCCTCCAGCTTATCCGAGGGAACACCAAGGCGT